TGTAGCAGCTTCCGCAATAAACGAGACTTGATCAGAAACCTGTCTTGTCTCCATCTCTCGTGTCCCCTGTCCTTTGTCATTCTCACTCCCCCTCTAGGGTCTCCGTTGAGTTACCCTCGGGCCGGGACATTTGGGGACCTCGCGATCTGTGCACAACATAGTCTAGCTCTGAGTGTCTTTGTCTTTGCCCACTCTGAGGCACTGATCTCCCAGCTCCCACCCCTGATATACTATGAAATTATGCAAGTCTCTATTGTCTTGCTTTCTTTAGCCCTCCAGGTCCCCATTCTAGGCAGCTGAAGGATTGATCATCCTCCAACAGAGACACATTGTCACTAGACAAAGTTTGATGAGATCCTCTCCTCAGCCTGCACAGGTCTTTCTCCCACCTCCTACCTGGTACTGGGGATTGAACACAGGGATTAACATATGCGTGGCAAGTGCTCTACCACTGAGCCACATCCTCAGCCCCCAGGCAACTCCTTGACAGCTCATGATAAAAAAGAATCTCAGGATCCATTAATAAGAGGCATAGGCTGATTTATTAGGCAGTCTTAGAAAGTAAGAGAAAATGGGCCAGCTAGTTGGGAGGCTGAGACAGGAAGATTGCAAGTTCAAGGCCAAGCTGGGCAACTTGAAGAGCTCCTGTCTCAAAATGATATAAAAGCTGTGAAGTGTATCTCAGTGGCAACCACAAAGCCCTGGGTTCAATCCCCACTACCACAAAAAGGGAGAGAGAGTGACAATGAAAGAAAGGAAAGGAAAGAAGGAAGGAAGGAAAAGAGAGAGAAGGAAGGAAGGAAGGAAAGAAAGAAAGAAAAAAAGAAAAAGAAAGAAAAGGAAGAAAGAAAGAAGAAAGAGTAGTGAAAAGAGAACAGAAAAGAAGGAAGTGTCCATAGAATTCCCAGGGTTGGCTAGGGTCTGGTTGGTCATTATCTCAGTTTTGATTTTGCAAGGTGGCTGTGGAGAAGTCTTTATCACTTGAAGGGGGCAATTCCATTTCTATGAGATGATTGCTTCTGTTTGGGGCAGTCTCAGTTTTGTGGAGACTCTGCTGGAATTTTGGGTGACTGTAGTGATAGGTCTCCCACCACCTCAGCATCTATTATGTATAGTAGCCTTGCCCCTTCCCCTGTGTGACATCATGCCAAGATGGTTG